AGCAAACACAGCTTGGGTGGGGGGGGGGGGGGCAAATTTGTAAAGGTGGCAGTATAGCCAATCCATTCTCCTGCACTTCTCTTTTGCGTCACAGGAGTATATTCTCTAATTTTACAGGGCAGAGACGTACCATGGCCGAGTAAAATCCCCACAATATTGTTCACAACTGGCACTGCATCTCTGTGTGCCCGATAGCCAGTTGCGCCCATCCCCTCCTCAGCTTATAGCTTCAGCCAGTGCTGGAGAAGCAGATAGGGGAGGGGGGAGTCCCCTGTGAGGTACAATTACTGAAGTCCCTGCTCTCAGCCAGTGCTGGAGAAGCAGATAGGGGAGGAGGGAGTCCCCTGTGAGGTATAATTACTGAGGTACAATTACTCTCAGCCAGTGCTGGAGAAGCAGATAGGGGAGGGGGGAGTCCCCTGTGAGGTACAATTACTGAAGTCCCTGCTCTCAGCTGGAAGCAGAGACCCAGAAACAAATGATCAGCAGTCACATCATCACTCAGCTCTCAGTCTTAGAGCTATCATGGGATGCTGCAATGTCCTCTAATCACGTGTTACTGTCCCTGTCTCTTTAAAAAACCAATAAATATATTACAATTCAAGATCTAGGCACTGCAATGTTGGAGGTAGCTGGAAAGGCACAAGAGCCAGGGAAGAGGTGCACCTACTGAAATGACTCCAGAAACATAGGGGTCTATTCACAAAGCTGCCGAGGGCAGCCGAGTGAATGACCGATCAGAAGTGAAGTGAGCCGAACACTGTTCGGCTATTCACTTCAGGCTGGTACGGCTGATTTCAGCCGTACATCGGCTGAAATCAGCCGTACATCACAGTCTAACTAGTATGTATTCTCGACCACTGTTATTACTGCAAAACTTACCAAAATGTAATCATATTTTATATACTACGTCATAGATTAACTTTCTCCCGGGGGTTTGCCTTTGTGATAGGGCAAGTAGCATCCTTGCTGAACAATTCCTGTAGTGAACTGCATCAATAGGTTATCCTACCAGAGGTTGTATTGTTTTCCAGGCAGCTAACAGCCTAAGTCATGGGTGGGTGGGCAAACTCCGGCCCTCCAGCTGTGGTAAAACTACAAATGCCATGATGCATCTGTCTCTGGGAGTCATGTTGGTGGCTGTGAGAATTTTGCAATGCCTCATGGGATTTGTAGTTCCACAACAGCTGGAGGGCCAGAGGTTGCCCACCCCTGGCCTATGTAAATAAGGGTCTGTTTAACCTCTTGCCGTCCGCCCGTAGTAAAAAAACGGACGGACGGCACTGCAGCATCTGCGGGTTGCCGTCTCCAGACGGCAATTTTTTTCTGCTCGCGCGCGCCCCCTAGCGGGCACGCACGGGCAGAAAAGACCCGCAAATCATATATTTAATTGGAGTAAGGTGACCACTAAAAGGCAGATATCTTTTCAAGAACATGTGGAGATATCTGCCCATCCCTGACCAAGTCATTGGAGCTTTGGAACCCACGAAGATTTTTGCCTGATGTTGACAGTTGTAAACATGGAATACGTTCCTATTTCCTAACAAGTGATAGGTGCTCATTCTGGCACCTGGGAGTTAAAAGAAAAACACAGCCCAAGTTTACAAATGATGCTTAAAAATAGCAGTAATGCCTACTATACTTACCTACCAGACAGCTGGGCATTCCCAGCCCCATTGTAGTGTATAGCAGTGGGTCAGGAATGCCCCGGCTGCAGCTTTTTTAGCTGGGATGGGTGTGTGTCAATGACAGTTTTGTGCGGGCCTGGGTTAAAAGGAGAACTATGGAGTTAAGGCTTTTCCCCATAGTTCTCCTTAGGGTAATGGGAGGACACAAACTAGCGTCCTCCCTTCACCCTAGGCTCAGTATACCGCGAGCTGTACCTCGCGGTATACTGAGACGCCGCAGCTGAAGCGGATCCCGACCATTGTGCCGGGATCCGCCTAGCTGCGTGAATGACAGCTGGCTCTGCCTATCTAGAGGCAGAACCAGCTGTACCCGCCCCCCTCCACCGTCCATTACGCCAGTCAGCGCTAGCAGATCGGAGCGGGGAGAGGGGAATCCAGCCCCTCCCCTGTCACGGCAGAGAGCTGTGACAGGATCGAGAGGTGAGCGAACCCGGTATGTGTTCGCTCACCTCCCGATCTACTGAGCCGACCTGTGACAGTCTCATTGTCACAGGTCGGCTAGAACTATGAGGTGAGTGAAAAGCACTCACCTCATAGTTCTCCTTTAACTCGGCCAAACTCTGCTCACACCATTAACTATACAAAACAAAATATTTTTGGCAGGATATGACGTAAAGGTTTGTATGCAATATGTTATCTGCATATTACTAATAGAACTTGTGTCAAACAACATAAAAATAATATGTTTATGCATCAATAAAAAGCAAAGCAGCAACAGAAGCATTTACAATATGAACAGTTGAAAAGGATAACTGCATTTCAAGTATATGTACCTTAATCTATGCAGAACTCAGAAGAAATAACAATATTAACAATAAAAACTACTAATACTCTTCCTACTAATAAGTTCTACATTATCATCTAAGTGACAGACAGGCTCACCCTTTCCAGTTTTTCAGGAACAAGCTCTTCTTTAGGTCCACTTGTTTCCTCCTCCTCTTCATCTCTCTTTTTCTTCTGATTTTTCTGCTGCCGTTCTCTCTCTGCATGCTTCCGCTCCTCTTCCAGTTTGGCTTTTTTTTGAGCTCTTCTCTGTTTACTTAAAACCTTTTTCAGCTCTTTGGCTGAGAGGTTTTCTGTACAAAAATAAAATACAATCTTATTATGTGTGCAGGAGTATTGCATTTCTTGTATATAGCAGTAAATATTAAAGCTGAATCAATCAACTAAATCCACATTTTAACTACATATATGTGAACTGTCTTTCTTACCAAAAGATATGCATTTCTGTTCTGTTAGCATGGCCGTGAAGAAACCCATGGCAGACAGCACAGTCAGGCCCTGGGCAGACTACAGCGCAGGTAAGCAATGCAGCCTGGTCTAGCCCCGCTACCACCCCAAAGTCTGGGACTGGACAATGATGCAGCATTCTGTTATGAAGAGATGGGGGTGGACTTTGTAGCTCTTTCTTAAGGTGACAATGCTGATTCTTCACAGATATAGTATGGTGAGTGAATGTTGTCAATGTAGCACAGGTAGAGTGTTACTGGCAGGATCACCATGTGAAAATAGAAGGGGAGGAGCTTAAAAGAAAAACACCACAAATAAAAGCGGTAGGCTGCAATATTTTAGATTTTTGTTTTTAGGTTTAAAGAGGCTTTAAAAGGCTAAAGCAGCTCAAAGACGTGATGCAATCTCACAGCTCTCAGTGAAAGGAAGGGGGTGGGCTTCCCCTCCCCTCACTACAACCAGCTTGTTGGAATGTGGATGATTTCCTGCCCAAAGAGCAGCCAGATCATGTCTACAAGTCCGACTGCCCTCTAAGGACAACCCAATCCACCTATGTGGATTTCCATGAAAGTCCACTGACAGATCTTTTAAGAAACCCAAACAGAAATAAGAACAGATGTACAGGATGATTAACAGGAAGTGAGTAGATGTAAAGACAGCGCACGAGCACGCACGCACCAAATATGGCTGTCCAATAGAACTATATATTTACCAACTACACGCACACAAACATTTTGGTTCACAGTGATGCACAGATCATGTTTAACAAGCAATCTATAAAGTGTAACAATTTTGCAACCATTCCATTGTAAAAGTTTTAAAAAAACAAAAAAAAAGTAATCTAAAAAGAGATGCATTTTAATATACTTGATGCAGCCAAACTAAACAGACGGTAAGCGTACCAGAATTGACTTCCTGCTCTTTGCTCTCATTCATTAAAGGGTTTTCATGCAGCTTTAAATAGATTCCTATGGCCGTATGAGCAGCTTTAAAATAGAAGACATGCTGCCGCAATATATCTTCCAAGCGCAGGAGATCTACGTATGCTCGCAGAGTCATCTTCCTCATACAGTATGTGTGAAAATCAAACTGATCATCGGTAATCTCAAAGAAGTGCTGAAAGACAAGCGAGTTTAGTAAAGACATATGAAATACCATAACCACAGACATTACATTGGTTGTCTATATTATATAAACAGGAATTCATTCAGACCCTTCCAAGGACAAACACGGATAGTTGCACTCCTTCTGCAGTGGGGTTGTGGGATTACACAAGCAACCATATGCCCAAATCTGGTTTATTTGCTGCTATAATGTAAAACAAGGCCAATATTAAACTGTGGTTTTATTCCACAGCTCATTGTAAAGGATGGCATTGTTGCTTACATGCCTATTCCGGGAGCCCTTTCACTTTTCTACATGGAGACAACATAAAGCCCTTAATGTTAATCTAAACCCAAGAAGTTAATATATTGCAGCTTAGCAGTGTTTAACTGACAGTGTTGTCATTTTTTTTTTAAATACTTTTAATAGTATGTCACCATGTTGCTGATTTTTAACAATTCTACATAATTATGTATCCCTGGCATAAATGTCAATATTTACTTCCATTTCATAGATCATTAAAGGAGAACTATGGGGTTAGGGCTTTTCCCCATAGTTCTCCTTAGGGTAACGGGGAGGACACAAGCTGGCGTCCTCCCGTCACCCTAGGCTCAGTATACCGCGAGCTGTAGCTCGCGGTATACTGAGACGCCGCAGTATATAGCGAGCTGCTCCTCGCGGTATACTCAGACGCCGCAGCTGAAGCGGATCCCGACAATTATGTCTGGATCCGCCCAGCTGCGTGACTGACAGCTGGCTCTGCCTATCTAGAGGCAGTACCTGCCCCCTCCCCCGTCCGTTCTGCCAGTCAGTGTTGGCGGATCGGAGCGGGGGGAATCCAGCCGCTCCCCTGTCACAGCAGAGATCCGTGACAGGATCGAGAGGTGAGCGAACGCCGGTATGTGTACGTTCACCTCACGATCTACTAAGCCAACCTGTGACAGTCTCATTGTCACAGGTCGGCTAGAACTATGAAAAGCACTCACCTCATAGTTCTCCTTTAACTCGGCCAAACTCTGTTCACACCATTAGCTATACAAAATATAGTTCACCTCATAGTTCGCCTTTAAGAAAGAGACTGAAAAAGTACTGGGCCCAATGCTAATCTTTAAGGTTTACCACAGCTAGCCATTTTGAACATATTCTGTTTACAATCTTCTTTACCCATGCATAAAATATTCTACTCTAATCCTACAGCCTCAACTTCTATACCAGGCTATTAGATGAAGCCCTATCCATTGCTTTAGCAAAATCCACATACAATGGTTCTATAAAAAGAAAAAAAATGGTGGATCCTGCACAGGCTTTAAAACACAATTGCGCCACAACAGAGATTTCAGGTGTCATCATATATTGCATATACCCTTTCTATTTCATGGCATTTCTTTAATGCTTCCCCATATTTGCCCATTCTCTGGTAGGCACTGGCACACTCCGTCTGGAACCACATGCACTGCATCTCATTCAGATTCTCCATGGCAGGTGTTCCTTCCTGAAAGAAAGGGTGCTACCATTACAAAACATATCATCTAATTGTATTCAGTCATGGTAAGCCACTTACACTTTGTCAGCCCCTACCGCTGTAACACATAACAAGGATGACCTGTAGTGGTGGATTCTGACACAAAAGCATAACAGTTTATTTTGTGTAATTTAAATAAACATGTATTAAAGTTTACCCTTGTAAACTTTGAACACATCTCTTCTGCTTCTTGGATCATATTGGCTCGGAGCATGTATTTTGCACACTTTGAGTTAATGAACCGGTCTGCAGTGTCCAATGACTGAGCTTCATCCATCCACTTGGCAGCTTCTTTGAGGTTTCCTATATGCTGATGTTAGAAAAGAAAAAGGCATTAAAGATACCAAATCTTGTTCTGAAATAGTGAAATTATTTGCATTGCAAATACATTTTGCAGAAACATTACGTTTAGGCAAGGCAGCAAGCAAACCAATAGGCAAGACACAAGACAGCAAACAACTTTAGTATTCATCACATTTCTCAGCCGACTTTCTAAAGTTATAAACCCTGCAGGTTCACAAAATGACCTTCCTAAATACTGTATATTCTAGGACAGAACAGGTACCACAATAGACACAATGGATTAAAACTTCTAAAATATATGTATACTATAGAACCCCCACAGAGCTAAAATCTTCTTTGACATATAATTACATATATCTTTAAGTCTACACTGTTCCATCTCTAAAGATAACCTCTGCTCGGTGTATGTTAATGAATCAAATCCAAGTGTTCGGGATTAAACATTTTTTTATTTTACCTTATAAATCTTGGCTTTCATATAGAATAGTTCTATTAACGTTGGAGTGCTTGCAATGGCAGAGTTGATATAGTCTAAGGCAACAGACCAATGACCAAGCTTATCAAAGTGCTGTGCTAAGTAATATCGAACCCAGAGAAGCGTTGTCGGCGGCTCTCGCTCTTCATTATCTGCAAGTATGAAAACAGTAACAATATTCCATTTGATAACGAACCCAGTACTGCATCCAGAGAGTGCAGCAGCAGGCTTGGCTTCTCTATTCAGTTAATAAGCAGTGTGTTTCTGATACATGACGTGAACTATAGAGAAAAAAATATATAATCCACAGCAGCCAATCAGCATCCAGCAGTAATTGCTGCAGTCCAGGTTTAAAAATAAAACAAAGATTCTGATTGGGGGCTATGGGCAACAGAGAGTTTTCCATACGTTCACCACTAAGTGAGAAAGCTGGCACCCTTAGGCCTTGTTCACACCAAATGCAGAGCAGATCCGGTCAGGTTTCTGCACACGCACGCTAGTCTTTTAGACGCGTTTTTTGCCGCGCTTCGGGCTCTTTATGGTAAAAAATATATAGAATATATATATATATTCTATATATTTTTTACCATAAAGAGCCCGAAGCGCGGCAAAAAACGCGTCTAAAAGACTAGCGTGCGTGTGCAGAAACCTGACCGGATCTGCTCTGCATTTGGTGTGAACAAGGCCTTAAAGTTAAAATAGACTCACTGCAACCTTTTTTTTTACACTCAAAACATGTGTAGGAATATTTTTAAAATTTATGTGTAAGGCCACTTCTCCCCACAAAATGTCATAGCAAACCAGTTTCTCGCATAGCAAGAGATATGGAGTAAGGTCCCTGCCCTGGAAGTAGAACTATTTCTGGAATTTGGGTGATGGCAGTTCAGGACAGGAGATTCACCACACGCGATAACAGCTGTCCTGTCAGTTACTCTCATAAACTTGTCAGAAACTAGGTGCACCTAATGGTCACTTTGTGCAATCCTAGACAAAAATGTTTAATAAACTAAGATGAAGCTTTTACAATGAAGAGAGATTATATATTACATAGTTACATAGAGGTTGAATAAAGACATAAGTCCATCAAGTCCAAGTGTGTGTGTGTGTGTGTGTGTGTGTGTGTGTGTGATTTTCATAACCAATAGCAAGTTCTTGCATTACGGTCATCTGTAAAAGAAAACCAACAAAACACGATAAGTGTATAAATGCCATCAACATTTGTAATGAAACAATTTTATGTCTTACAAAACCAAAACATGTCAATGGTGTCTTCGACCTTACTTAAAGATGGTTACTCTATTGGTGAAGTTGCACATACAAAGTAACTGGAGATTTGAGCCGCATGGAGCAATGGCTTGTATGTCCACAGAAAGCGGAAGACACCACATTAAACTGTTTGAGCTGTGTTCCAACAATCAGTCAAGTAAGATTATTATGGTCAGTCCTCAACTGTTTTCCCAAGGATTTAGCTAGCACTATGTGTGCTTGGCTGCTTTCCCTCCGGGACAATAACATGAGCAATCCAAGCTTGCACAATAATGGAAGGATTGATTAAAATGGATCTTTCAGTAGTCATAATTCTGGAACACCAATATGCCATGATTTCCATGGGAAAATCCCATTCATTCCTATACAAAGGCTCTTTATTATGTGTCTCAAAGATAGACGGCCTCTCCAAAGCAATGAATGGGATTTTTTCAGCATATGTGCAGACAGAATAAACAGGCTGAGGAGAGTATGCATTGGCAGCAGGACTGTGGACAGGTGAGTATAAGAATTTGAGGAGTAAATTAAAAGGACAAATATACAAGTTAAATATAGTTTTTTAATACCACCTGCCCTCCTTTACTAAATAGCTTAATCATAGCAACCCTCATAAAAACAAAGCTGAAAACAAGCAGCGCAGTGCATGGGTGGTAATACAGACCACAAACACTTCAGGTGTACATACTTCTTCACATGCCAACACCAGGCTAAAAATCATAAGTGCGTCACCTTTTCTGAAGAACCGTACAGAGATTTTAAAGTTGTAAATAATGGTGGGCAGCCTTTGCTGAAGTTAATCCGTAGAAACGTATCCATTCGGTCTCTGAATTTGTTGCCTAGAGACAAAAAAAACAATCATTCAAACATTCAATATGAACAAACGTAGATAACAGGTAAGTGAATTTTTAGCTCACCCTTTTTCACAGGAATTCATACATTTAAAAAGGAAGAAAAAAAAAAGGTATACTGAGAAACCAGCCAAAAATTCTATTTTCTAGTTTTGGGCACAGTGGAAAAAAATTGTCAGCTTTTTTTTTTTTGCACTCTAATACAAAAGGTCTAAACACAAAAAAAAATGTAAATCAACATTTACATAAGGCATCCTTTGCCAACCAATTCCAAGAACAAGGATACAAAATCATGTCTCGCTGGTGCAGAGTGCCATCTGTAGTGCATAAAATGAAGAACCAGGTGTCCCCGGCCTGCTGGAGGTGTAATTCTGACTTAGGCACAATGATCCATATCTTCTGGTCCTGCCCTAAATTGCGCCCTCTTTCGGATTCTGTGTGGAACACTGTTAAACCTGGGGGATAACCCTGCGACCTACCTCTTGCATGTGGCCAACAGATCCATTGCCCGATATAAGCGATCCTTAATGGTCCATCTACTCAACGCAGCAAAGCCTGCATCCCTCTCTTGTGGGGTCAGCCCCACACTCCTACTCCGCATCTCTGGTTTTCTAAGCTTAATGATGTTTAACAATTGGAAGATATGACCTCCTTCCTTCACAACACAGAGGAGCATTTCAGGCCCACATGGGCGCCTTTGCTCTACTTCCAGGAAACGTCCTCCTATTCCCAAATCTTCTGTGCTACTTGAACCCCTTATCTTGGACCTCGGTTTCATGTAACATGTTTCTTCTCTGAGAAGATCCTTGAAGATACCTTTCAGCACAAAGTCTCGGGGCCTGATCCCTTGGGGAGGGGTTCCCAAATACCCCGTTTTCCTCTCCAGCTCCATTCAGGGATAGACCTGTGTCTAGGGAGGTACAAAAGAAAAAAAAAATTTGAAATCAATCCATAGCCTTAAATGATGGCTTAATAATTTACGTGGGAAGCAAAGACTGGCCTGTGTAGTCCAATCCAATAGAAGAGCTACTGTAGCTCAAAAGGCTGCAAAAGGTAATGCTGGTTCCGCTAGAAAGGTGTCTCAACACACTGCATCAGTTTGTTGTGTATGGGGCAGACCGGTCAAAGTGCCCATGCGGACCCGTGTCCACTGGCAAAAGCACCTACAATGGGCAAGTGAACATCAGAAATGCACGGAGCCATGGAAGAAGGTGGCCTGGTCTGATAATTCAGGTTTTCTTTTACATCATGTGGATGGCTGTGCGTGTGTTGCTTACCTGGGGAAGAGAAGGCACTAGGATGCACTATGGGAAGAAGGCAAGCCGGCGAAGGCAGTGTGATGCTTTGGGCAATTGTCTGCTGGGAAGCCTTGGTCCTGCCATTCATGTGGATGTTACTTAGACACGTACCACCTACATAAACATTGTTGCTGACCAAGTACACCCCTTCATGGAAACGGTATTCCCTGATAGCAGTGGCCTTTTTCAGAAGGATAATGTAACCTGCCACACTGCAAAAATGGTTCAAAATTGGTTTGAGGAACACAACATTGAGTTTGAGGTGTTAACTTGGCCTCCAAATTCTGCAGATCTCAATCTAATTGAGCATGTGTGGAATGTGCTGGAAAAACAAGTCTGATCCATGGAGGCCGCAAACCACAACTTTTTTTTTTCTTTAGCAAAAGTGGGACCTACTCAATATAAAAGTGGGTGGTCATAATGGTTTGTTTCTTTTTATTTTAAACTTGTGAAATCAAAATCACTTGAAAAAACAAGCCAGAAGACCAAAAATACAATAGAAGCTTCCAATGTGCTGGTACCAAGTGCCTTACCATAGTGGCACTCTCCCAGGTTATTACCCTGTTTCAGAGGCTGCCCCAAAATGGGCTCCTTTGTCCACATCTACTGGACCTGTCCAGTGAACAAACAATTTTGGACACTCAAGTATGATCTTAGCTTCACCCTCATAAGTCAAGCCTTTACTAGGAATGCCTGAGAAGCCCTCCTTACCAAAAAAAAAAAAAACAATCAACTGTTCTAAAAATGAAATCTGTCTACTACTTCACATGTTTACAGCGGCAAAGCAAACGATTGCTAAAGCCTGGGAAAAAAACCATAACTTTGAAGGACTGCAGTTTCAAATGCATCAACGCAAAGGACTAGTATACAGACAGACAAAAACATAAAAATAAAATCTGGGACTCCTGGATTACCCACTGCCTGTCTGTAAACTTTCATCACTCTCTGCTAAACGTCTCAAAAGGTGAAAAGCCAGATATAAAACAACATTTTGACAACTCCTACCCCAGATACTTTTTGTTTCCTTCTCTCTCTTTTGTAAAGTTTTCTCTCTCTTTGCTTCTTCCTCCTTCCCACTTCTCTCACTTCACCCATCATACGCAGGGGGCATCCTCCATCCCAACCATTTCTACTCTTGTAGACCTATGCGGTCACCAACACTCAGACTCAACAATACATGGACCTGAACCCCAATGTCTCTTCTCTTTTTCTCTGTTCTCTTTTTCTGTAGTATGTCGCATAAAACTATTGCTTTCTCCATAAAGTAGTTTAAGAGTTCATGTTACAAACCTTTCTTTATTACAATATGCCCACACTTGGCTGCATACTGCATCTCATTGTAAAACTATCATGTAAAAAACTATTGACTGAGGGAAAAAAGCCAGTTACAGTCACCTCACCCCCACTTTTCTATTTTACTCACACAACTTTTGATAGAAAATTTTCTTTTTGTAGCCGTGACAACAGGTAAAAGGATACTAAAAAAAAACTGGGGCCATGTAGGTTTTTAGAAGGGATCACTGCTTCCCCTTCGTACCTTAGAGTCACCACACCTATGTTGGCACCCTCTCTCACAGTGTGTGATCTGTTCATGTAGGGTACAGAATCCAATTAAGAAGCATTTTTGGGTAGCCTGTGGGGATAATCATATCTAAAGTATCTGCAGGTAAAGTGCAGTTATCCTTTAAGAGGAAAAGAGAATTTTGATTGGTTGTTCAGTTGCTTTAGGATTTATCTTTGGCAACGTTTTAGGCTGGAAGCAAAACTGGGTATTAAAGTTGCTTCACAATCCAGCTGCATGTAATATAACAAACTACACATTGTCACAGATACTTACAAGATGGGTTTTTTAGCTACTACAGAATTACTTGGGTGATCCAACACAGGACATGAAGTCACTGTAGCCTATATCACTGCAAATCAAATTGGAGCAGAAAAGTGGCCAACTAGGAATAATTCAGTTAGAAGAATAACTGGTAAAGGGGGGGATACGAAATTCACAAGCTCCACCTCGAATGGGCGTGTGGCGCTCCGGCCAATCCGGAGGCTTTGATGACAAGCCCCCGGTGACTCATAGAACCTGACAGCCTATGGCTGTCAGGTTCAGTCAGGCCCGATAACACGGGCATACGTGAGTCACGTGGGGGGGGGGGGGGGGGGGGGTTGAATAATACCTGCTGACAAATATGGCTTAAAAGCTGGTACAATATTTTCCTTTCAAAATGGAATAAAAGCAAAGGACTAATATGATGGCAAATTCTTGTTTAAAGATCCCAGAGCAACTGCATTTATATTGTATATACGCATGGTACCCCAACCATAAACACATGGACATCGAACAGTGGTGACATGACCCTGATATTTTACCTGTAATGAAATTTAACGTCAGTCTTCTTGGTGAAACTGCTCGTGGATATCTCTTGCCGATATCGTCATAGATTTGTAGCCGTTGTTCAACAGTAGCTATAATTACAAGTAGTACACATATCAGGTTGTATACCTAAACTACTGAAAACATCTTTTTTAGAGCCACATATTCTCTAATGCAATGAAATAAAATGAAAATTCATGTTTGGTGTTCCCAGATTTAGGTAACTATTTAGCAAGCTGTTAACTGACCTCAGAGTAGACCTCCTAATCCTCTAAGCCTGAAGCATCCACCCCAAATGTTTGCTTAGTGCAAAGGTTCCCTGTAAATTAATGTACTGAGATAAGTACAAGCCTTTTTTTAATGTGTATTTGATTCCTGTGTGTCATGAGTGCACGTACGGACATGCCTAAAAAAAAAAAAAAAAAAGAAACCTTTAAAGCCAGATAAAAATTGCCGATTTCAGGGCTGGCACTCTTGTTTTGGCTTTACTGACCTGGAACAAGCATGCTGCTAGTGAGGACTAACAAGTCTGAACTTCTTGCTTGCATGCTTGTACTAGATCAACAACTCATTAAGCCAGTAGGACAGTCAACATATGTTGGAGCAAGGGAAGTGTATTTTTATCAGCTCTTATTTCCAAGATAAGGACAGAGTCAAAGTTGACTGCAAAATGCAAGGAGGTGCATACTTGAAGTTTGTACACTTACTTATTGAAGATGCCTATAGCATGTACTTCCTCATGCAGTGACACAATTTCACTCAGCCCTGTGAACAAGCTCTTCCTTGTGTCAGCACTCTAAGCCTGCTGATTAAACTACAACATCTGAACAATATAACATTATCACTGCTTGCTGGAAGCAATGCATGATTGGCTATGTTGTCTTGAGAATTGGAGATTGCATCACATCAAGCAGCAGGAAAGAGATGCACTGCACACTATGAATCCAGGAAGTTCTTGAAAGTGATAGGCAACCGGAAGGCAGCACATAAAGGATTTTTTTTTCTTCAAATAAGCTTTGATTGCATTATGAAAAACAACTCTAGTATGTATTCCTATTACAATGCTGATGTTAATAGGATAGTATATGCTGGGACTTTATTACTCTTAATATATATGAATTCCAATAAAGGCTTGCTCCAGCATTACCTCAATCTAAAAATATTTTTTTAACAATGTACTCTCTATGAAAATAGATGTATATAAATACTTTAGGACAAAATAATGAAAAGCCTACAGCTTGTGCTAAACCCATAGCAACTTTTATACTCTGATAATTTTCAACAACATTCCAGAGTCTAAAGAATTGAGTGATTTACCAGGTATCAACGTTTTCTCAAAATCTTCATAGTATTTCCAGTTTTCAGGATTACGGTCAATAAGTTCTCTATAGACTTCAGCAGCTTCTTTTAATCTTCCTAGATTTAACAATACTTCACCTTCAAACAGTAACAAAAATAATTTAAAAATAAATGATCAAACCAATTTAGATAGAAGCAATGATTCTAAGCATTTTAAACAAATTGATTTTGGAAAAATTCACCATAATGTCATCATTTTTAGGAACGTTTAGAAGTGTATAGTATATAAAACACCAATTTTAAAAAATAACCCTTTTAAGTAGGCTTGTTACAGTTTTTCTAAATATTTTAATTCCAATATTGCCCCTCTGCTCCAGCGGTCTAAGGTCCTACGAGTCATCACATCCTATACAATGTAATGCCGAGGGACATTTTATTGCTGCAGTGAAGGAGGAGAGAGGCGGCAGGAACCGCAGTAGAAGCCAGCTGGATCCGAGGTTCAGATGTGTATATCTTTATTATATTCATCACTAGATGAAAACGAGCACTTCACCCTTGCAGCGCAGGAGTAGCCCGACTGCAAGGGTTAAGAATAATTATACCTGGAGTTCTTCTTTAATATAATTATATAATAAAATATTACTTTTTTTTTTTGGAATAACAATTATGTTTTCCGGAAGGGAAAGAAAATGGTACTGAAAATACCTAGGCTGCCATTGCTTGCCTTCTGAGAATGCTAGTTGTCTGGCTGTAATATTTACTGGGGAAAAAGCAAGCAGATCAGGGAAGTCAGAGCTCCTAATCTGTATTTTTGTTCTGAGTTAGTGGCTAAGAGTGTAATGAAGCCATTGGATCACAATGACAGGTTCTTAGTACAGGTTTCCTTAAAAGAGAACTGTGGGGTAAGTGTTTTTCCCCATAGTTCTCTTAAGGGTCACGGGAGCACATATACTAGCGTTCTTCTGTGACCCAAAGCTCAGTATATCGCGAGCTACAGCTCGCGGTATACTGACACCGCCGCAGCCGGGACAGATCCTGACAATGCAGTCGAGATCCACCCACCTGCGTGGCAGAGCCAGCTGTGCCCGCCCCCTTCCCCGCCCGTTCCTCCAATCAGCGCTGGAGGATCAGAGAGGGGAGGGGGAATCCCTGCGGGGAGCAGTGATGATCGAGAAGTGAGCGAGCGACGGTATCTGTTCGCTCATTTTCCGATCTATTGAGCGGACGTTGGACAGTTTAATTGTCACGCGTCAGCTCAAACTATGAGGATGAGTGATTTTTACTCACCTCATACTTCTCCTTTAAAACTCCGAGATGAAATTAGAGACCAATGTTCTAAATAGGTTAAGTCTCATAATACACAAAGCCACGTGCACACAGCTTTCCCTCTCAAGTGCTGCCCCTATTTCCAGAATAACAGTGGTACCTTTCACATCCGGCTCTACCATTACCTAACATTCGTGTGATGCTCTATAAACGCACAAACAGCATAGAGGCAAACTTGACCTGTGGTTGTTATGTGCTTGTTTACAGTCAGCAATGCACCTTGTTACTAAGAAGGCTGACATCCTAGAGCATATACCCTTCCTGCAAAGTTCCTTTCATACAACAGTTCTTAAATACTGTATGTTAAAAGGAGAAGTATGGGGTCAGGGCTTTTCCCCATAGTTCTCCTTAGGGTAACGGGAGGACACAAGCTGGCGTCCTCCCGTCACCCTAAGCTCAGTATACCGCGAGCTATAGGTCGCGGTATACAGCGAGCTGCAGCTCGCGGTATACTGAGACGCTGCAGCTGAAGCTCGCGATATACTGAGCTTTGGGTCAAGGGAGGACACCAGTTTATGTCCTCCCGTGATCCTTAGGAGAACTATGGGGAAAAACACTTACCCCATAGTTCTGCTTTAAAGCTTCCATACACTGTTAGAATTTTGTTTGAATCCGTTGATCAGAACATTCAATCTTGCCATCAGTGAATCAAGTAGAATTTTGTTTGTTCAGATAAGAAACAAGAAATGTTTATACTCCTCTGATTTTCCTCATCACTACGGTCGAAAATTAACGTCTAACCATTAGATAAATGAACAAACTTTCCAAAAATAAAAAATTGCTAATTAAATGGCCAGCTTGGCTCCATTACTCATAAAAGCAGTCCTTGTGATTTTAGATTTAAGCTTGGGCACCACCTGCTGGTCACACTGGCTATTACAGCACCTCAAAACAGATCTATTGCTGCTCTCCAAGTGTAAAAATGGCCTGTTATACAAGCACACAGCTACAGCTCGTCACGCGGCATGACATCTATAGTGTTGACTTAAAGTACAGGGAATGCTCCAATAACCTATACAGTACAAAAGCAGGTGTTGATGAACATAAAGAAAATGACAAAGACCCATTTACCCTGGAGTAATACAATTTAGCAGATAATGAATTCTTGAAGAATTGTGGAAAACAATGTTTTGTACAATTTCTGCTGAAACTGTCCAGACCACAGAAGCTAGTCATTAGGATGCCCATTATCTCTTTTTATAAACAGGACAGACCAATAATTTACCTTTAATCTCCTCTACCTGAAGTTTGTCACATATTTGCTTCTCATAGGCTTCAATGTGATCCAGGGACTCTTGGAAGAGATTGGCTTCCCTCATCACTTGATTCTGATAGAGAATTAGCTCACTATATTCATAGTCAATCTTATTTGGCGGTACCTGCAAGCACATGGCAAGTGTTATATCCGGGCTGGTAATAAAATGTACTGATGTAAACTGGTGCAATATTACATTTTAGCAAACCAAGATAACCTTCAGACAATTGCAAAAGCCAGCTATGCATGAACACTACCATTTTATCAGTTTTAAAGCAAAAACAGGTCAAGTTTAAAGCAAACACCCTGAGGTTAAAAAAAATACAACATGGAATCTATATCAGTGCTGTACCTGCTGAGTCTTCCTGAATTCCTCAAGCAATTTTAAGGCCATTTCATAGTCTTTCAATAAATGATATGCTATGGCATAGCCAATCCATGATGCCCTCTGCATTGGCCGCAACTGGAGGAGTTGATACCTGGTTTCCTATTAAAGAATACATTTGTCACAACATATCTAATAATAGTGTAGTTCTGATAGATTTTCTGCTTAAACAACAATAAATTCATGTGAAGCAAAGATACCCCTCTGGTTTACCGTTCAATTCTAGCCAAGCATTCAGAGACTGTAGAAAGTAAAATAGGCAAAGCTGATTACAACTATAGTAAAGACCCCGGACCCCAGATTACTGACAAATGATTGTGGCAGCCACAATGATTGTGGCAGCAGTCAAACAAAGACTCTACCACAAATTAAGAGTATAATAACATGTGATCTGAGGACCTGTCAAGTCCGGAACCCCACCGAGGGCTTCCCAGTGGTCTCCATCCATCACTGACTGTATCAATTACAGTACAGCCTGTACAGGTTTATGAGGGTATTTTTAATTTGGTGAAAAACTGGAAATACCCTTTAAAATGCATTTTTTTTTTACATGCTCACTTTGAATTAGCTAGGTTTGGGACAGATTTACTTTGAAATATAAGTCTTATCTACATCTCATCAGGCTACTGATTTTCTGCCAAACTGTAAATATATTAATACCTTCTATATGTAAAAACCTATTTTCCAACCCAGGCAGAATTGGGTCAGCACAGCATTTACATCTGGTGGCACTACTGACACAGTGTCTTGGAGCATGTAGCATACTCCAGGACGAAGAAGGGAGAGCGGGTCGTATGCCAGCCTAGCTCATAATGAATGATGGATAGCTCAATGCCAAACTCAGTTCCCGGCCTTCCTCAACTCACTGTATCAGGAATGTTAGAGAATGTAAATACTATGCCTGCCCCATATTTTAACATGGGATTTTGCTGACAGAAGTTTTGGGTTTAAATTTATAGTATGTCAACACATCATCACTAGGATTTCTCCATTTTAATTATAGGTACACTTTTACACTCTTCTGTAAATGCTTCCTTGGGATGTGTTTGAAAGTGTGGTTCTGGAGGAAAAATAATAGCTTTACAACCAATTACAATCAGAAGGATAACACAATATCATAAGACTGCACAGTCATTATATAGGAATTATTTCATTTTCAAAATAAATGCAGATATACATACCCGGTAGCCTTCCAAGTCTCTCATCTGTATCTGTAATAATGAGAGGTCCCGGAGTATCTGCAAATTGTCCTTGTCCAGCTTAAGTGCATTTCTATAACACTTGATTGCTTCATCATACTTCTTGTCAGACCTCTGTAGAAGACCATACACATGCCAACCTGTCCAATGTTGAGGAAAACAATTGCACACAATTCACTTAGAAGTGAAGTCATGAATCGCCTGGAGCCACTTTTATTGTTGTTATGCACACCAGAAATGCAAGGCTTAGCAGAGAGAGAAAAGAGAAAGCAGAGAGAGAGTAGAGAGAAGAGATAGAGAGCAGAGAGAAGAGAGCAGAGAGAAGAGACAGCAAAGAGAGATGGTCGGCTAACACCAAAGTCTGCGTTCCAGAGTGTTCAGCCTTGAACGCAAGCCGGCCGGCTCCCTGCATTCAGGGGCGTGGCTGTGCATTGAAGTTACCGCACCGCAGCCACACCTCCCACCCGCAGCACGATTGCCCACACCCGGAAACGTTGTATATAGATGTCATCAGCACTCCAAATATGACAGAATACGTCAAGGTTTTTAGTGAATCTTCATTTTTATTTTTGAAGTCACTTGAGTGAGTGGAAACAAGCGCTTTCGGGGTCGCACAGGGTCCCCTTCATCAGGCTTAAAGTGAACATTAGTGCCTGCATTCCGGTCCAGTGCGATCTGCAGCATTTTTGCAGATCGCGCTGGACCGGAATGCAGGCACTAATGTGCCTGCGTTCCGGGTGCGGGCAATCGCACTGCGGGCGGGGTGTGTTGCTGCGCTGCCATTGACTTTAATGCACCGCTACGCCTCCTCCCACCCTTGAATGCAGGGAGCCGGCCGGCTTGCGTTCCAGAGGCCGAGCGCTCTGGAAAGCAGACTTTGTGGTGTGAACCGGCCCAAGAGAGGCAGTAGTCCCAGTAACTATTTTAATGTGCTTGTTTCCTAAATAAAGGTGTTTTTTCGCTGGTGGATCTTATTGAGCTTGTCATTTAAATAGTAGATCTCCAGATGAAAAATTGTGGGCATCCGTGCTTTACATAGTCCTGCACTGTTAAGCTATTATGTGAACACATAGGTGCTGGTGAACTTGAAGCCTTGAACATGAAGGTTTCTGCAAAAATCTGTTCCTGTTTTCCATGGAACACAGTCATATCCTTCCTAAATGATTGGAGAATAGAAACCTGTGTGTGGTTCATTAATGGCACCCAAAAAGTCCCAAAAGTTCTGTTCTAAAGAATACGGTATGTAGGCCACAGCAATGCAGAGACTGAAATTTTTCAAGAAGAGTGCTGATGGGGTAGTTTTTCATTTACTATAAAACACATGGTAAGTCTGAATAGAAGAAGTAGTAACTTTAATGAGCAGGAAACACGAGAATTTTCCATGGATAATAAAATGTCACTTAAAGTGACATTAAAGTCTAAAAATGTTTTCAATCCCCCCAATATTAGTGTCAGCACTTACCTTAAATGATGTCTCTTAATCTGATCTTCTTTCCTGTCGTTTTCAGCCTTCTCTACAGCGCTGCTGCGGGTCTCCGATCCAGCGCTGACTCCTCTGTTGCTTTCACTTCCTGTCCCACGGTTTCTGCGGGCGCACACTGTCCATAGACTTAGCTTGTGTCTCTCCTCGTCTCCCGGCCAAAAATCTGAACTGCACATGCGCCCGCCCCAACATTTTTCAGATTTTTGGACGGGAGCGCGCAGCAAAGACAGGGGAGATATATGCAAAAAAAGGGAGGGTTTAATAACCCTTTAAGAAATACCATCCAAAGGATACAGACATGACTTTTAACATCATTGCGCAGCCCTTTTCGTACAAACTCATAGGCTTCTTCTTTCTTTCCCAGGCAGTTCAGTGTCAGTCCTTTCATAGCCAGTGTTTCTGTAATAAATTAAAAGAGCTTTCATTCAGATACTAGATCATCTATTAAAAGATATTCAACACTTTGTGATCCGTTTATAAAAACATTCACAGGGCTATTCATCCAGTAAAACTGCATGTACACTTGTTGGAAGGGATTAGCAATTTAAAAAAAGGAACTTTACCCATATCTTCAAAATAACAATAAAAGACACCTTTAGACATGTTTAGTAACGACAATCTACAAACATATATTTCTAGATAATTGCCAGCTTTGTATTCTTTGCATACCTTATTTTTCTTTTCCTCACCTACTTCTCACAGTGGCCATTTTTACTAAGTGCAGATTAATCCATCTCACTTTACTTCCTGGAACTGTGGCACATGTGGCTAGGACTGACCATGCACATCATTTCAGGGGAGGAAAATGCCTTTCCCTGAGATCCCATGAGATTACAGATAAGATTTCCCAGCAATGCTCTGCAGATAAAACCTTCTTGCTTTGTGATGCATTTTTTAGTCAAAGGGTTAAAGTCCACTTTAATGCAACTATTGATACTTCCATAGTAGCAATGGTTACTAGTGTGACTGCAGGGGTATTTATTTTCCCAGAGATAAGCTTTAAGTGTGAATTGATCTGGATAATCTCCACCGGAAGTGCATGTGACAGGGTTACAATGCAGGAAAGTAACTGCAAGGCAGGGACAGAGCTTATATGCCTGGACAAGCATATTTATGGCTGGATTATCAGGTAATATAAGATTTAAAAATACTGAAATAACTTTAGAAATTACACAAACATGTTAAAGATTAGAATTTGGAGAGTGGGCTTACACCTACTTAAAAAAACCCAACACATGCACAATCAGTCTGGAACATTTACAGACAGTAGTTAGAGAATAACAGGATATATGGTACAGCGCTAAAAGCCTTTCTGATGATCTGACTTTTAGAATAATAATGGCAGTGTTATTTCACATATGTATCAGTCCGTCTAGTGATAACATCCTAATGGAAACATCATGATGAAAGTGGCTACACAAGAAAACAAAAGGCTTCTCTACATCCCTCACACGATCTTACCTCCGTGTTCAGCAAATTTTGGGTTGGACAAGATCATCTTACAAAATTTGAGCCCATTTTTATACTGCTTTTGTTCATAGCATTTCTGGGGGGGAAAAAAATATTTTTAGTAATTCATGTAGATGTCAAAAGCCAAAACATTTATTTTATGAAGCATATTAACAATAACATTGAAAATATTTTAAAAGTGTATGTAGTTATCTGATCCCTCATCATTTCATGCAATACCGAGTTTAAAAAAAACTTCAAAAGTAACCATGTGACTGCCTTATGGCTTATAGTACAGTTATTATAGACCACATTTAAATCCCAGAAGACAGGAATCACCAGCATTCGGTAATATCATTCAATATGTCCATTTATTTGGACAAATCGTCTCAATGAAAAAAGCCAACGTTTCGGGGCCACACAGGGTCCATTCATCAGGGCGAAAAGATGTGATAACATGTGTCACATCTTTTCTCCCTGATGAAGGGACCCTGTGTGGCCCCGAAACGTTGGCTTTTTTCATTGAGACGATTTGTCCAAATAAATGGACTTATAGAATGATATTACTGAGTGCTGGTGATTCCTGTCTTCTGCCTTGTGTCTGCACGGCATCATCCGTGGTCATCACTGCGAGCACCACTGTTGCATGGGCCGGGAACGTTGTGGGGAGTGCAGAGGGACTTTCTATCTACCTACACATTTATATCCCTTCATTAATATTTGACTACAATCTCACATTTCGTTTACTAATCTGTATTGAGGTTGTAGTCTATCAAAGGAGTGAGCTTGGAGCTGTGACTACCTTAGAACACACACACAGTGGCCATGGGGAACAAAAGTAGCCACCCTCCAGAAGGAAGGACAGTGTCAGCACCAATTCAGAGATGATTTGAGGATCTACAGCCGAGTGATACACAAATAAGGTACATTTTTGTTAATAGTTAAGGTACTTGAAATCATTTTTAATATATAACTACTAAGTTCTGTTTCATTTTAAGTAGTTGTGGCACCAGGAGTGGTTCAGTCTCCCACCATTTTACTGTACCGCCACCATACAAGGACCCTGTGAGAGTTAACTAGGATAAGACTGTATTTTGAAGTGTGAAATAATAATGCAAACTGTGAACAAAATACAAGGAGTTTTGTGACTGGACAAGGGTGGAGGAAAGGGTGAGTGAACTATAGGAGTGATGACAGTAGTTTCCGGTAACAATGAAGCTAGGATTTTTTTAATAAAGAATAGGAACAGCATTATATTCATTAAATTGTAATTGTTTGGACTGTGGCATGTTGGCAAAAACAAAAAAGGTTTCTGGTGCTGTGCTTCAAGTTTTGGATAGATTGGTGCAGGGTGTGCAGTGTTTATAGCAGACTGCCATCACTTCCTGTCTATGTGACAGCTGTCAGCATAACAAGTAAGAGGAAAACAGGTGTCAGCACAGGAAGTGAGAGCAAACTCTTGTTTTGAGTAGAGAAACAAAGAGTTAGAAAATCTGTAAGGTTTAAATTTTGTCTGTGTCCCCTTTGCAGAGATCCAGCCCACTTCCAATCAAAGTGACAGCTGTTTGAGAGCGCAAGAAGCTGGGGGGATGATGAGGGGGTTAAGGGATTTTATTTAGCCTTCCACAGTCTACAGAACTAAAAAATATTTTTGGTTGGAGTTGACCTTAATAATAATAGTCTCTTATCAGCCAGGTTTTCAAGTGCATTGCTGAATTTACAAAGAGCTACGAAAGTTAGAATCTATAAATCTGTATATTAAACCATTGAACTATGAAACAAACACATGTCAGTGCTGAAGCCACAAAATATTTTCAAGCAAAACTTACAAAACTAAATGAACTCTTACTATAGTTTCCTTCTGATGTGAGAAAGAGACAATTTAGAAAGTTCTGACTGGCTAGTTGAACTTGATTGCCCAAAATCTGCACCAGAGGTTGCTATTTTCATCATTCAATTTAAAAGGGAAGGAATGGTCACCGTCAAGTTATTTAAGTATTCGATGTACAGCTGTCCAGTGCTGGACCCGCCAAGACAGAGATGGGTGATCTGATATCACGGTGTTGCTTCTGAAGGTGAAAGCAACACAACGGTAACCCTGGTCTTTGCTTTACTTCTCATTGGTTACTGATTTGATGCATGCAAGCAGCACGTGAAGTATTTGGACAAGTTATGTTTGCTCCAGGCCAGTTGCATATATAATAAAAAAAAAAAAATGAAATAACAGTAGCTCCCTTATATTGGCCCTGGTGTGTTCCTTTAACCGCAAGGGTGAGCTACTCTTTCAGGTTTTTTCACATATGTGTTTTAGCTTTGTATGTGTGCATAGTTGACAACATTTTTAATAACTGTACAGGGCCAATTTCTGTAAAGAGGAGTACTCCATGAGTAAGGCTGAGGAGTGGTCCAGTATAAGTAGATGGTACACAACAGGCTGTGATCAGGAGTGCAGACAGAGCAATGGTAGTGGGTCTCTGGGCAGTGCATTGAGCAGATTGGGGTCCAGTATAATAGATAGTACACAACTCTACATGAACACAGAAGGATGTGATCATCAGTACAGATAGGGCACTGGTATTGTGTCTCGGCGCAATGCATTGAGCAGACTGTGGACCAGTATAGGTAGATGGTGCACAACTCTACATGTACACAGAAGGCTGTGATCACCAGTACAGACAAAGCACTGTGTGAGGGTCTCTGGGCAGTGCATTGGGCAGATTGTAGACCAGTATAGGTAGATGGTACACAACTCTACAGTACACAGAAGGCTGTGATCACTAGTACAGACAGATAACTGGGTGCGGGTCTCTGGGCACTGCATTGGGCAGATTGGGGGCCAGTATAGGTAGACAGTACATAACTCCACATGTACACAGAAGGCTGTGATCACCAGTACAGACAGATCACTGAGTGAGGGTCTCTGGGATGTGCAGACAGGGGACCAGTATAAGCAGATGGTACACTAGGCTGCTATCAGCATTACAGACAGATCTCTGGGCAAGCAATGTGCACCATGTAGATGAGGCACCAGTGCCAGCAGAAGAATGACAGCACGCACTGAGTCATTATTAGAGTGTGTGCTCCACGGCCCAGGTGACAATGTTCTCACCAGGATCCTCTTGAAGAGGTTGTTCTCCTTTGGGGGGAGGGTGACACCCGGCATGATGGCTCCGTGTTCTGCCCGCCCCTCGCGGGGGTCCCGAGGAAGAGGCCACCTCTCTTGGAGGCCGCACTGCAAGATGGGGACTGCGCGTGCGCACACAGCTCCTCGCGTCTTCTCAGGGAACGCACACTGATGAGGTCATGATCACTTCCTGCCCCGGGCCTCCGCTTTAGAACATTGTCTGTTGCGTACACGGAAGATGCAGTTGGTGAGTTTATTGCATCTTGATAGCTTTATTTTGTATGTGCGGTGGGGCCTTGTTTATGGCAGTATAGCAATGACGAATGTACGATGACGTTTGGCACTAGCCGCTTTCCGTACATAGGTCGTCTGTTCCCTGTGCACTCTGGGAGTTGTAGTCTTTATCTCCTGACCTCAGACTTTGCTGGTTGTAAGGTGAGGGTAGCTTTGAGCTGTAATGTAAGTATATTACATTGCATAAAAACCTTTGTGCTCAGAGGCTGGACATTGTCACCTTTGTGGTGGTCCCTGATCTCTAAAGTGATAATGAACTGGGGCCTCGAAGCCAAGTACCCATGTGCTAAATCACTGATGGCAACAGTTATTCTGGCTTAGGCGATGCTACTGGTTCTGAGAAAGTGAGTAGGTTCAACTTCTCTGCCCCAGGACTGCTTTGTGACATCTAAGTCATAGAATGGCTAGTCCCCTAGTCCTTTTCTAAACAGGTCATTGCTGTGTTACAAGGGCAGCATTTAATGGGGAGAAGCATGGAGGCTTTCAAGGTGACGTCTCTATCTGAAAATGCTAGCTGTCTGGCTTTCATGCGGGTCTCCTGGCCTGCATGCACTGTCACTTGCCTGGAACACGTATGTAGATGAGGATTTCTGATTTCTTGTTCCAGGCCAGTGGCATTGAAGCCAGAGGGACAGCGAGATGATTAGTATTTTTAGAATGATGTCAGTAATGGCAGCCCCGTAATTCCCTCATTCTCAATGCTGTTTCAATCACAACACCCTTTAAACGTATGCAAAATCTCAAGGCACCCCAATCAAAAATGTAAAAATCTAATAAGCAATCTGCGGCCCCTCCAACAGCCCTATTGGACCCTTATCCCAGATACGGGTCTGGTATGTATAGATTTTAAGCTGGGTCCCCACACATAAACGCAACAAAGTGGACATCAGAGGCCCTCTTTACATCAGAAGCCTCGCCTATACATAACAGCCCTGCCTTTCCTATCAGAGTCCTCCCTTTTCACATCAGAAACCTGCCTGCATCACGGAAATGCATGACACTGTGAAAATATAGACGGACCCTTGAGGAAGCCAAAAAGAACCCCATGGTGTACGCCCCCTGGTTGAAAAAGGCTGCTCTATACTGATATAGAGCTGCAAGGCCATGACAGGACTAATTGATCCTAATGAGCGCATTCCATTTCAGCATTATTTATTAATTATAACTGGATGTTTAGGATGTCAGGAGTCCTTCCTTTACTCTAATTTTGCAGTATGCTTGCCCTGGGTCTCTGGATACTAAAACCAGGACCAGCCAGGCCACTAGCATTTTTTAGCAATCACAGTCTACGTTATTCTACCAGTGCAGCTTTTTAGTAATCGCAGATATGTTTAGTTAATAGCTACCTAAAAGGTGGACTATATTAACCATCTATGCATTTCTGTCAGCAGGACTGAGGGATGTCACAATGAAACGCCTGCCAGGTTTTGCACTGTGGAGGAGCTGCACTCTTTGTTTTCATTCGGGGGCCCTTGAGCAGCCATCTCGCAGACTATGTGCTACGATTTTTATAAAGCAACCTGTTCTCAGATCACACCATGAAAATAGATGCCCTCTTGGTGTCCATGGGCTTCAGCCAAGAAGAAGCTGCTCTCATGGCATGGGTGCTCTCTGGCATAATGTTACCTTGCAGAATTACTTGCAGTCTTTAGTCAAGGAGCATGGACGACTGGGGGAAATGTTAAATCGTACATTAAAAGAAGAGGAGCGCAAAACTCTGAGCATTCAGCACGCTCAACTGTCTTCTCTTTGTTCTTTGCTGTTCCAAATACAAGAAGCAGAAGAAGAATGCAAAGAGTTGGATGCCATGTGTGCTGGTAGGTAATGGACAAGATTTGCCTAGATCTAAATCCAGGCTCAGACCCCGGCCACACTAACATCTCCAGGCCTGTGGTTATTTCGCTGGACTTTCCTTCTCTTACTGCAGGTTTGCTGGATCAGCCTGTGTATGTTGTTGATGGTTTGATTTTCCTGCCAAAATTATGTTTTCTTACTTCATCCTTTTTGTTTTCTTACTTCCCTCTACTAGAGATGAGGCTGGGTTTGGTACAGACCCAGTTCACCTGAATTCACCCAAACCCACTCAAAACTGATACCTACACTCCTCCTCCCACCCCAATCAGTGGCGGAATTTATGGTGGGGGCGTTCCCCCACCCCATTGTGGGAGAGGCGGGGAGGGAAATGCACCTTTCCACAACTGATTGGGAAGGGTGGGTGTCAGTCACAGTTTGTTTTTTTTTTTTAAATTCGTTTATTAACTTGACACGTACAGAATACACAAAATACAAGCATCAGTACAAAGAAACCTGATATACAATAAATCCGCTTGTACTCTTGGGACGTACCAAGAGCTAGAATAACCATAAAGTACCCAGAAATCAAAGTCTACTGACGACCCCTGGAAGTATGTTACCTGAGCATTAATTATAAAATCGTGTAGCTGTGCATGTCATCTAGGCGTATCTTGCAATTAGGGCGAGAAAAGGGGGTCGTGCGAACGGCAGAAACACCTAACTCCATCTTTGTTTTATTTTCACAAATATCCTTATAAAGACATGCAGGATGAAGAAAAAGAGAGAGAACAGATATACGCGGGTTGAAAGGATTGCAGAAGTAGCCATGAGAAGTAGGATTGGTAGGCATGTGAAAGGAAAGAGGGAGGAGAGAGGTACCTGGACCACTGCCCATATTCCCCATTGGTGGGAGATCGTTTACGTCCGGGAAGGTGAAGTAGCTTTCACTAGTTCCCCTCAGGTGTAACGATTATTGGGTGATGGGAACGGCTGGAGGAATAAGTGCTTGCGTGACCCCGGACAGGAGATCCGTGTAGCGAGCAGAGTGTTGGAAATATATCCACGCTCCCCAGGTGGACAAGAACTGCTTCTCCGTGTTTCTCAGGGTGGCTGTTAGGTCCTCCATGGCGTATACCTCTCGTACCTTAGACAGCCACAATGCCATCGACGGAGGGTGTGGTTGCTTCCACATCAGAGGAATAGAGGCTCTGGCTGCGTCCAACAGGTGGCGTGTGAGCGAGCGTTTGTAAGTGGCATGAGGTGTCGCTGTCATGTGCAAAAGGCAGGCCGCTGGATTATCTGTGAGGTCTGTCATGGTCAGGTCTTGGATCACAGACAGCACCTGATTCCAAAAGGGTCTCAACTTCTGACAGGACCAAAAGGTATGAAGCATTGTGCCTGTGGCTGAGCCACATCTCCAACACTGTTCAGGTATGGTAGGTCTCATTTTGTGTAAGAGCCAGGGAACTCTATACCATCGGGATAAAATTTTGTAGCCAAGTTCCTGCACTTTGCTAGCCATGGAAGATTTGAAAGACAAGTCAGTCACAGTTTTGAGCGGGCGAAAGCGTTTTTAAAAAAACATTTTGCCTATATCTACTTTAGAAACCCTTTAAATATATTCCTTGATAGCCAAGCCCAGGCTCATCACTACCCCTTTACTTTATTGTGGCGTGATACCAGTAACTTTTTGAATGATTGCTGAAGACCTCTAAACAATGTCAGAGCTGTTGCAGTACATTTTAGAACAGGGGTAGCCAAACTCCGGCCCTCCAGCTGTGGTGGAAAAATCCCATGAGACATTGCAAGATTCTCACATCCACAGACATGACTCCCGGAGAGAGATGCATCATGGGGTTTGTAGTTTCACCACAGCTGGAGGGCCGGAGTTTGGCGACCCCTGTTTTAGAATATAACAACCGTCTGTTACCATAAAAAGTAATCTGATCTTTGGTTTTCTGACTATATCAGGACTTATACAGTTTTTGATGTTTGTGTTAACCGCATAGCATCACACCATGCTTAAGTATTTTGAAAACAGAAAATTGGTTTCTAGATAGGGAAAATGCAGTGTAAAAATAAGCAGTACGGACACTTGTTTACTGCTCCGGGCACAAAACGTTCATTTTAAATATATTCCTTGATAGCCAGAAAATATATAAATCCACTTTGTGCGCACCAAATGCCTTTTGGAAACCCAGATATTACCTTGTAGCAGTGACAAATTCAGTATGCTGTGCATAGTATGTGCAGAAAGCAGAGCTGTGGGAGGGGCCAAGCAGACCCCACCCACTACAGGCTGCCTGCAGAAAACCATTGTAGGGGTGGATACAAGACCAGTCACCCTGCACAAGGAGAGAGAGCAGCATGGACTAGTTTTTATAACAAGTTTCACACACTGGATTACTACACAGATCTGAAAAAAAAATACATGCAGCTCACCAGGATTAAAGTAAGAATACACATATTGTTATATTGTAATATTTGTCCCCGAGTTCAGCTTTAGACCCTGCTTTGAGATCATTATACCAGGGTATTTTAGGACTTTGTGAATTAACTACCCCGTTTCCCTGAAAATAAGACCTAGTACTATTTTTGGGAATTGCTAAAATTATTGTATCGGTATCGGTGCATCCCTAGCTAAAATATAAGACCTAGTTGTGACCATTCCCAGCGCCGGTGGTGAGATAAGGGGGAACTTGAAGGGAGGCGGGAGAGAATCAGCGGTGCCAACAATGCTGGCGCTAGAAGAAGCGAGGCGGCACCGGAGGGAGAAGAGACGCATAGGCCGATGCCTCCTCTATAGCGCCGGCTCCTGTCACAGGCGGAGTGATACCAAATGTACTCCGCCTGTGAAGAATTGATAGAGAAAGCGCGCTTTGCTCTATCTGCCCAGCGATTGGTTACCAAATATCTCTTGGAAAGGTACGGCACCCCTGATTGCCATGATCACCATATTCTTGACTTCGACATTTCTAGTTTTTTTAATTTTGGATTGTTGTACATGGGAAAAAAAAAAAAAGTAAGACCTAACCCGAAAATAAGACCCAGTGTGTTTTTTTGAGCCAAAAAAAATATAAGACCGTGTCTTACTTTCGGGGAAACACGGTACTTGCCCCCCTTTTACTTTCCGAAATATTTTGTGCTTCTCCCAACAGAGGGAAATACAAATTCAAAATATTCTGCCCAGACTCTGTCGTTTTGGACACAATCTTCTGTCTTTTTTCCATGGTTAGGCAATTATTAAGGGCTAATCTTCTAGCACAAGGTCAGCCATGAATAAACAATTAAGAAGATCTTTAATTTAAAGTGACCCTAAACTCAGGAGTCAAACCTTAAAAATACATTCAAGTACCTTAACTATTAGCAAAAATGTATCTTATTTGTGTATCATCCGGCTGTAGATCCTTAAATCATCTCTGAATTCACGCTGACACTGTCCTTCCTTCTGGAGGGGGGCTACTTTTGTTCCCCATGGTCCCTGTGTGTGTTGTAAAGTAGCCACCGATCCAAGATCACTCCTGTGATGGACTACAAATGAGTAAACTAAACATGAGATTGTAGTCCATCACAGGAGTGAGCTTGGAGTGGTGACTACATTACAACACACACAGGGACCACGGGGAACAAAAGTACCCACCCCCCAGAAGGAAGGAAAGTGTCAGCACCAATTCAGAGATGATTTGAGGATCTACAGCTGAGTGATACGAAAAATAAGATACATTTTTGTTAATAGTTAAAGCGGACCTTTACCCATATCTTTAAAATAACAACAAACACACCTTTAGAAATGTTTAGTAATGATAATCTACAAACACATACTGCTAGATAATTGCCGGCTTTGTATTCTTTGCATACCTTATTTCTCTTTTTTTTCCCAGTCTTCTGGCAGTGGCCATGTTTACCAAGGACAGATTACTAGCTCTTCTTTTACTTACTGGATTTCTGACACATGTGACTAGACATGTGACCATGCACATCATCTCATGCACATCATCTCAGGGGAGGACAATGCCTTTCACTGAGATGATATTTCCCAGCAATGATCTGCTGATGACAAGGCAATCCCAGTGTGCATTGTTTTGGCAAACTGAAGTCATTTTGCACTTTCGAAACAGGAAGTGATTGCTCTGCGAGTGTAAGTATTTCACAATCACAGCATTTTGCACCTGACATGTCTATGTTATTATTCATCATCATACATAGAGGGATGTATTAGTAGAATTTGATTTTTGAGTGTAACGTTCCGCTTTAAGGTACTTGAATGCATTTTTAAGAGTTTAGTGTCACTTTAAAGTCTAAACTCCAAAAAAGTTTGTCCATTAACTGGAATAATGACTTGATTTTATTAGATCTCACATCCAGAGAAGAGGAACAGTTGCTGAGCCTTGCACTGGAAGAAAAGGATGCTATAAATCAGAACATTACACGTCTACGTACAAAGGTGACATAATCGATCCAATTCTTATTTAAACCATATACTTATTTTAAAAGTTCTATTTCTGTGAACATTCCTAGCACATTGGGGAGAAGACATGCCTAGATGTTATTCTTGTATGGCAGCTTCAACCACAAGACTGGAATGTATGATTGTTTCAGTTTTTTAGATATACATGTACAAGACATCAGATTCATGTAAGTGATTTTATGATGTCTATTAGAGGAGAACTATGGGGTTAGGGCTTTTCCCCATAGTTCTCCTTAGGGTAACGGGAGGACACAAACTAGCGTCCTCCCGTCACCTTAGGCTCAGTATTTACTAAGACGCTGAAGCGGATCCTGACAATTATGTCTGGATCCGCCCAGCTGCGTGACTGACAGCTGGCTCTGCCTATCTAGAGGCAGAGCCAGCTGCACCCGCCCCCTCCCCCGTCCGTTCCGCCAGTCAGCGCTGGCGGGGAGGGGGGAATCCAGCCCCTCCCCTGTCACGGCAGAGAGCCGTGACAGGATCAAGAGGTGAGTGAACGCCGGTATGTGTTCGCTCACCTCCCGATCTACTACAGTCTCATTGTCACAGGTCTGCTAGATGTATGAGGTGAGTGAAAAGCACTCACCTCATAGTTCTCCTTTAATCTTCAGAAAGTAAGCAAAACATCTTTCTGTGCATGTATTATAATTATTTATGTATCTGGGGCAGCTTTCTGCTTTGCAGTACAATTCAGTGCTCGTGCTTTACGTGCACCTTCATACAGTCCAAAACCCGGCCAATACTATAAAATTATCGGACTACATGTGTGGATGAAATCTTAGCTAATCTACATTTCCTCTGGTAACTAATCTGCAAATATCTACATTTCATCAAATAAAGAGAAAAAGTGTATAAAAATGTCAAAGCCAAATAAAAGAAATTACAGATTATCTAATAATTAGAAATATATGCTCACTGAAAATAGCCTATACTTTCTTTTGCTGTGTGTGTGAGGCTTAGTGCAGTCTGTTGATCTGATTCTTATCTGATTGTTTTATCAAAACGATTGCTATATTTATTGTATTGCTCTGTTTATAGCATTATCTACCATTCATGTACAACGCATCTAGCATCTATCTTACAATGCTCCTAGTTTGCGCTATCGTGTACTAGGTGTGTTGCGTGGCCATTCATTTGAATGGCGCTCCAATGTACCTCCCAACGCACATACGATTAGCGCAATGCCCTGGTGTAAATAGGCCCTTCTCAGGTGTTGCGTAATATTCTCCACAGTATCGTAACAATAGCTATAGCAGCCCACACAGCTACTAGGGTAGGAGGGACCCCATTAGGAGGGCTAATAAGAAAAACTATACTATGAAGTTTCCAGTATAGAAGGGTTGACCTCAGGATGGTCTAGTCCAGTGGTGGCGAAGCTTGGCACTCCAGCTGTTCCAAAACTACAAATCCCAACATGCATCTGCCTCTGGGAGTTATGTCTGTGGCTGTCAGAGCCTTGCAATGCCTCATGGGACTTGTAGTTCCAAAACAGCTGGAGTGCCAAGGTTCGCCACCACTGGTCTAGTCACAGGTTCCCCTCTGTGCAGTGAGAGGCATTTTCTTATCTATCTTAGCCGTGTAGATTTATTGTCCTCTAAACTTCTACTACAGACTGAAATGAACCCTGTATGCCTAATGCAGTCACAAATCCCAGAGTTCCACCTCTGTTGAAACCTAGGAGGGTTGAGCTTTGTGGTTCTACAAAAAGTTTAATGAAGCTAAAATTTAAAGAAGTTTGTTTTAGGTTTGAACAGTAAGTGTGTGCAGGAGCATTAATCATTTTATCATAATATAAAATATCATTATGGGTATTATTATATGTGCTACTGTAACTTTTTCCCCACCACTCCCCAGTAGTGTACTGACTATGCTGCCTGTCCTTGATTCATACTTCATGTGAAGATCAGTCACACACATTGTCATAGTTGACACTGCCAGTCGCTACAGATAGTTAGCCAGGGGGACCCAAGGTTTTGCTATGAAGCCCTATCGTTTTTAGTTGCGCCTCCGATTCTCATGTGTGATTATTTACTTTTTGTGGCTCGCTTTCGGGGGGAAATGTTGGTGACAGCTATTTTATTGTCCTGATCTAATGTCCCAAATTTAGCATTGTCAATAATAATGCCCCATATTAGCAAATAAGGTATTTGCTAACAATTGTCTCATCTAAAAGACTTCATTATGTTCGATATTCCAGAAAAAGGTTAATATGCTTCTAAGCAATTTTTAAACTGCACCCGAAGCTAAAACATTTTTAGGTTTGGATAAAGTAAAGAGGGATTAGAACACCTTTCTTTTATTGCCATCTGTGTCCCTCTCTATTTGTCCTGGTGATTGTTATTAGTGAAAGAAAATCCCACATTTTGGGTTGTCATCAGAACAGGAATAGATGGGAAATCTTCCAATTGGGACACTATTTTTGGTGACCCTGCTGACCACCCTCAATTTGGAGGGATTTCCTATCACTTCCTGTTGTGGCTATCAGACAGGAAGTGAAAAGAAAAGCTCCCCAATGGGACACAGATGGCACAAAAAAAAGCTGACAAGGGTTATAACCCTAATTTATGCTCCAAAACTTAAAATAAATGTTTTGGCTTTAGATCACAGCTGAGCGACATATTTCCAGTCTCCATGAGAGAAGTACAGTGGGGAGCTGTGATATACGCTCCGATATTCTGGTCAGTGAGTGACAGAAATCCTAGTAGTGAGATTATTATTAGGAATGCACCGATACCGGTATTTCGGTACCGAGTACGAGTACCGATAATTTTTTCCCGGTACTCGCCGATACCAATTACCGAGTAACAGAAGCCCATTCAGGAAGCCAGGTGGCGTGTAATGACTCACCACCTGGCTTCTTGATCAGCCAGGAAGCCGGGCAGCGTATAAAGACTCTCCACCCGGCTTCCCAATTAACAAGAAAGTCCACTCTTACCTTGGTATGTCCAGCCAGTCACCCCCGGGGCCTCTCCAGCGAGAACACGGCCTTCCTCCGGTACCCAGCCGGAGCCGTCTGGCCGGCCAATCAGGAAGCCGGGCTCCGTGTAATGAAGCAACCCCCTGCTTTCTGATTGCCGGGAGGCCGGCTCCATGCTCCCTCGTCACGGGATGACGAGGGAGCATAAAGCCAGTACTCGCCCAAATACTCGGAATCGGCACCGATATCGATACTAGTATCAGTATCGGTGCATCCCTAATTATTATGATATCCATAGACTGTTGATGTGTATCCCTAATAATCATTTCAAGCTGAAAAAATGAATTTTTCTTTTCAGCTGTTGCAACTTCTTGTGCCTCCGGAAAAATATGACAAGAATGATGCAATACTAGAGGTGGTGTCTGGCAGAACTACTGGAGGTCAGTCTGTCATGTATTTAATGTTGTAAATCTATACATTGTGCATCTTTGTGTATATACTATTACAGGTTTGTGAAAGAGGATTATGCACTTCCATATGCTGGTATGCAGGGTTTTTTTTTGTTTTACTATAAAGTACTCCCAACAACCAAGTGACCCTGTAATATAATGACTGACCAACTTTGTGATCACTGGCTCCACCCCTTCTCACTTCATCTGCCTTCCTATGAACCCATTATTATGATAGACAGCCTTCAGCCTTATAAACCAATAAGGCAGATCCATTGACCAGGAATCTTGTCTGTAATTACATTTCAGTGTGGCCTGGGGGTTCTGCAAAGGTCATTTTACATGATTTTATTGGGCCAAAGGTTCTCATTTAACTTCATTCCTGCATGCCATTGGAATGTCATAGAGAAAACAAAGAAAGTGTAAAAAGGGGTAATTTATTGCTTACTGTACAATAATATTCTGAAGTGGCCTGGACAGATTTTTGGTACCACTAGAAAAACTATAAATAATTGGATCATAGTGATATTATAGACTAACTGTTTTTAAATAAATAGTATTACACGTGTCTTCAATGATGTAATCCATGTAATCAGTCAGCCTGCTCAAATGGAGAAAAGCAGTCATTGCTGTTTTGTATCTGTTCTGTTCACTACACTGACCATGGACCAGAGGAAGAAAGGGAAATAGTTGTCTGAGGAGAAAGACAATTTTAGACCAGCATGTCAAAGGTACTATAAGAACTTCTCCAAGCAGCTTGATGTTTTTGTGACTACAGTTGCAAGTATTATAAGGATGTTTATGAAGGCTACATGGGAGTGTAGCCAACCTCTCTAGATGTTGGCGAAAGAGGAAAAACGACCCCGGATTGAACAGAAGTATAGGGTGAATGGTACACAAAGAGTAAAGAAAAACTTTCAAAGAGATACAAGCTGAACTCTAAGGTCAAGGTTTGATTTACACACCATGCCTACCACTTTGAAGTCAATACTTCGTAGTACAACCTTTTGCAGCAATTACAGCAGCAAGTCTCTTCGGGTACATTTCTATAAGCTTGACACATCTAGCCATTGGGATTTTTGCCCATTCTTTAAGGCAAAACTGCTTCAGCTCCTTTTAAGTTGGATGGGTTTCGCTGATGTACAGCAATCTTTAAGTCGTGCAACAGATTCTTAATTTTGACTTTGACTTTGCTATTCCGAAACATTTAAATGTTTCCCCTTAAACCACTCGCTTAGGGTCATTATCCTGCTGGAAGGTGAACCTCCTTGCCAGTCTCAAATCTCTGGAAGACTGAAACAGGTTTCCATAAAACATTTCCCTGCATTTAGCGCCATCATTCCTTTAATTCTGACCAGTTTGCCAGTGCATGCCGATGAAAAACATCCCCACAGCATGATGCTGCCACCACCATGCTTCCCTGTGGTGTACTCGGGGTGACAAGAGGACTTGGGTTTGCGTCATGGTGTTTTCCTTGAAGGCCAAAAAGCAAAATTTTTGTCTCATCTGACCAGAGTACCTTCTAACATGTTTGGGGAGTCTCCCACATGCCTTTTGGCGAACAGCAAGCAAAAATGTTTGCTTATTTTTTCCTGTAAGCAATGGCTTTTATCTAGCCACTCTTCCATGAAGGCCAGCTCTGTGGACTGTACAGCTTAAGGTGGTCCTATGGACAGATACTCCAATCTCTGCTGTGGAGCTTTGCAGCTCTCCTCAGGGTTATCTTTGGTCTCTTTGTTGCCTCTCGGATGCCCTCCTTTCATGGTCCGTGAGTTTTCAGTGGGCAGGCCTCTCTTGGCAGGTTTGTTGTGTGTGGTATATGTACATGTTCAGGAGTGTGTATGAATAATCTAAGATAATTCTTTCTTTTTCAGGTGATATTTGCCAGCAGTTTACTGGAGAGATTTTTGACATGTACCAAAACTATGCACACTACAAGTCTTGGACATTTGAGATCCTGAATTACACAGCAGCAGACTGTGGTAATAAATTTTACAATGTTTTTTTTTTCACATGTACTAATGTACTTTTTTTGTAAAAGAAGCCATGGCTTGCTAACTGTATGTAAAACGTCACATTTCACAGTTAAACCTCCTCACAATAAAACTAAAACGCCAGACAAATATTAACCAAAACACCCTCTAATCCAGCCGTGTTTAAATTCAAGCATAATTCAAAATGATTTTAAAACATGGCTGATACAAGTAACCAAATCTATCTTTATTATCAGTACCTCTGCTCTGTACCTGGGGTTGCTATGGTGGAGTCATACACAACTATTTACTCTGACTGCAGTGTCTGCCTCAGGTCCTGACTTTTATACTGCAGAATGGTGTTTATCTGATATTTAAAATATTAGTGTTTTAGAGGGAATACTTGCTCTCACACTTGCTCTAGTCCTCCGTGTACTAATCAGTTAGTGAACACGGGTCAGCAAAAGTCAGCGGCTTGTACGTACAGGTTTGGTTTTTGGTTGTGCTTAAAGTGATATTAAAGCCAATTTTTTTTCATTTCTCCTTTAAAGGAGAACTATGAGGTGAGTGCTTTTCACTCACCTCATAGTTCTAGCCGACCTGTGACAATGAGACTGTCACAGGTCGGCTCAGTAGATTGGGAAGTGAGCGAACACATACCGGCATTAGCTCACTTCTCGATCCTGCCGTGACAGGGGAGGGGCTGGATTTCCCCCTCCCCGCTCCGATCCGCCAGCGCTGACTGGGGGAGGGGGCGGGTACAGCTGGCTCTGCCTCTAGATAGGCAGAGCCAGCTGTCACTCGCGCAGCTGGGCGGATCCAGACATAATTGTCGGGATCCGCTTCAGCTGTGGCGTCTCAGTATACCGCGAGTTGTAGCTCGCGGTATACTGAGCTTAGGGTGACGGGAGGGCGCTAGTTTGTGTCCTCCCGTTACCCTAATGAGAACTATGGGGAAAAGCCCTGACCCAACAGTTCTCCTTCAAGGAGACCCTCCTTTGCTGGAGGCTGTTGTTGTTTTTTCTTCTTTCTTTGTTTTCTAGTGTGTCCCCGCCATCCTCTGCCCCCTGCACGGGTGCCACCATCGTTATAATGGAGGCACCCGTGCACACTCCTCCCCGCATCGGCTGCGTGTGTCCATAACACACACAGCCCTGTGGCATGCCACGCCCCTTAGTTCTTTGATTGATGGCAGAAGGAGCCTATGGCTCCTCTGCCATCAGTATCCTCCCCCGGAAGTTCAGGGTACGGAGGATCGCTCCGGGACCGGCGGCGGGGACGAGCACAGCTGAGAGGTATGTGTGGAGGGGACTGGGGTAAAAAAAAAGGTCCTGGGCCGTTTTTACCCTAATGCAGAGAATGCATTAAGGTAAAAAACGCTCAGACTTAATACTACTTTAATGAAAAGTCTGTTAATCTTGTTCCAGGAGGGCTGCACCATGCAGCTGCACGTATTGCTGGAGAAGGAGTATACAAGCGTTTGAAATATGAAGGAGGAGTTCACAGAGTTCAGCGGATTCCACAGGTGGGCCTTTCCTCTAGGATGCAGAGGATTCACACAGGAACCATGGCTGTCATTGTCCTTCCACAGCCAGATGAGGTAAAGCACATATATGTATCATTCAGCTGGGTCCTGGTGTTTGTCTTACATTTAAAATAATAAAAGTAATTTTTATGTCCTGAACAGGTTGATATTAAAATTGATCCAAAGGAATTAAGAATTGATACATTCAGAGCTAAAGGGGCTGGAGGTCAGCATGTTAATACGACAGACAGTGCAGTGAGGATTGTTCACATACCTACAGGTAATAAATAATACCAGAGCTGCAGTAATGTGTGTATGTAATCTGTCTGGAGTCCTGCTTTAAGTTTAAAAACTACAGTTGCAAGACTGTAATATTTATCTTTCCTTTTATACTACGTACACACAGCATTGAGCAGGGAGCTTCACATCATGAGACAAATATGAGTGTGTGAGTACATACACTTTAGAACTACTGTTTTCCTTGTCCCCATGTAGGAATATCAACGGAGTGCCAAGAAGGACGTTCTCAAATTATGAACAAGGAAACTGCTATGAAGATGCTTAGAGCTAAACTCTTTGAACAGAAAATAAATCAAGAGCTATCCCAAAGGAAAAATTCCAGGAAACTGCAAGTGGGTTTAGCACATACTGTATACACTGTATTAGCTGATATCTAATTCTGGTTTCCCTAAACCAGCCCCTGTGAAGAGAAGGCCCCGCATGCAGCACTTTCTCGCTGCAAGCCTCTAAAACCACTGTACAGAGTGGCAGCAGGTTCTAGAAAGCAGATCATTCCAGCACCCCGCAATCTTTTACAGGCACTGTTGGGTGGAGTGACCTTCTGTCCGATAGTGCCTGTACAGTCCTGGCCATGACACAACGAGGTATGGAACAGGACATGGAGCGTACAAGACGTCAATGTATGGTCAGGCTCTTCTACTATGCTCACTGACAGCAATGCCTAGATTAGAGGGTCTTTTGTTTTTCCACACACACTGACAACAGTACCTGGGGGGCTCTTTTTTTATACCAACTGATACCTGTGCCTGGAGGGGGCCCTATTATTACATCCACTGACCTCAATTCCTGGGAGGAGGTTCTTTTATTTTGCACAGTGACAACCTGATGGGCCGGGGGGGGGGGGGGGGGTGCTTTAGTGTGCTAATGCAGGGGCATTTATACTCCTATTGGCCATTGATGCAGGGACTTTTTTTTACACACGTCGATGCAGAAATGTATCACTTGTACTGACCACTGCTGCAGAGGCTTGGTTTTTTTTAACTTGTACTGACTACTGATGTAGAGGCATTTTTTTACTTGTACTGACTACTGATGTAGAGGCATTTTTTTACTTGTACTGACTAATGATGTAGAGGCATTTTTTTTACTTGTACTGACTACTGATGTAGAGGCATTTTTTTTACTTGTACTGACTACTGATGTAGAGGCATTTTTTTTACTTGTACTGACTACTGATGTAGAGGCATTTTTTTTACTTGTACTGACCACTGATGTAGAGGCATTTTTTTTACTTGTACTGACCACTGATGTAGAGGCATTTTTTTTACTTGTACTGACTACTGATGTAGAGGCATGTTTTTACTTGTACTGACCACTGATGTAGAGGCATTTTTTTTTACTTGTACTGACCACTGATGTAGAGGCATTTGTTTTTACTTGTACTGACCACTGATGTAGAGGCATTTTTTTTTACTTGTACTGACTACTGATGTAGAGGCATTTTTTTACTTGTACTGACCACTGATGTAGAGGCATTTTTTTACTTGTACCGATCTCTGATGCAGGGGCATATTTTTTACTTGTACTGATCTCTGATGCAGGGGTACATTTTTATTTCTGCTGACCACAGATGCAGGGTAATTTTAAAATCCCAATGACCTCTAAAACTAAGACCTTTATTTTTTATATATACTTCTGGAAATTATCCAGCCCCCACAAATAGTCTGAGGAAGAGTAAACTGAACTTTTTGTATAAATGATATTGCATGCTGTAGTTCTAGAGACATCAAAACAAAATGCATCCATTGCATGCATCGTAATTTTGTTCATGTTGTTTCTATAATAATTACAATATAATGTATTAGCTCAAAATAGCTGCAAATATTACAGTCATCATCCTGAAGGCCGTTATTTTTTTAGACATAGTTTTGTAAGTCAAATATTTTTGTTAAGTTACAGTATTATTTCCCATACAGGTAGGTACAAGAGATCAGTCTGACCGAATTCGCACGTACAATTTCACTCAGGACAGACTAACGGACCATCGGATATCCTTTGAATCCCGCAATTTAAAGGCAAGTATCTAATCTACAAAGATTTCAAATGTCCAGTTCACCATAAACCAAGATATTTTCCCATCAGAAACATTGTTTGGTAAGGTTACTGCATTGTGACATCCATCATCCATAATAATTAGCCGGTTTCTGCGCCTTCACCTCCTCTAATGAGCTGCTTTAGCAGAAAACTGTAACACGTTTGGTAGATTGTTTGCACAAGATGTTCAGCAACATTGCACAATGCCCTGATGTAAAACCTGGCATTATATGAAATTGGGCATGTTCAGCACTTTAACCAGGTAATTTCAGCAACTCTGGTTATTGTAAAAAACCTATTAAGTAGGACCTGTATGGAAGCTGTGACCCAAAAAGTCAAGCAGATGGCAAAGGACTGGTCTCCAGTTTTGTCAGTAGGCTTCCTACAGTTGACCTTTCCCAAATGACGATTTGCCATGACTTGTTTCTCATAGTGTATCTGATATGAGGTGGCCATCTTGGTATTGAAGGGGGATTTTTTTCTGCTTATGTCAAAACTGTAGAGTTTGAATAGTTAATTAGTTTCAGAAATCCAGATATGGCTGCAGATTTAAATTAAAAGATAATTCCAATAATATGGCATTTAAAATGGCTGGTGTATCATGTATATGTGCAATCATTTGTTTTTAAATTGCCCTTTATTATTACAATAGCTGAAGTAACTTCATGGCATTGTGTGAGAGAGGGTGCAATCATGCTGATGGGTTTTTTTTCTTTTAGGAATTTATAAATGGAGAAGACCTTTTGGAAGACTTAATAGAAAGGTTACAGCAGTCAGCAGATGCAGAGGCTCTTCTTGAAGTCATAGAAAACGATTCCTTAAGTCTAAACAGATGAAGATCTGCTTTGCAGCACTATAGTGTCAATCACAGTGTCTATTACCTGACAGACCTTGAGGAGTTTCCAGATCTTTATAAGCTCAGCTGTTCTATCATAGTCTCCACATCTGCCTCATCTGTTGAGTCCTGTCCTGTGGTAGGATTTTTAGAATGTCAATCATACAAAATACTGCTGAAAAAAACAAATAAATGTGGATATTGTAAATAAAGCAATATATGTGAATATTTTATCTTGAAATAAATTATTTTTGGATGTCCTTATTACAATTCTCCATGTTACTTGTGTGACAAAACTACTAAGAAAGAGGTCCAGCCTATTTAATGAAACAGGGGGAACCGCAGTAAAGGGAGTCTTGGGCTGAATTCACATTGTGCATTGTGGTATAGTATGGTAGAATGTGTTTTACTATGGTGTGCGCAACGCACATGAACGTACGGTATATGTGATCCAGTCACATTATTTCTTAATGGCACTAGAACACACAAATACAGTACAAAAAAACACCTGTGCTATAGTGCACCACAATGTACAAATGAAAATAGTAAGCATTGTATTGTCAAAAATATTGGTTAATTTTTTTTCATGTTTTGACTTCCCATTTAAAATGCACCTGAAATCAAGTAATAAGTGTGAATGAGCCCTTAGGATGCAGTACTCTACACCCTTAGCCACAATTCCTTTGGGAACAGCATGTTTCCAGTGGCCTTGTGGAAAAACACCTAATGGTCTGTGTCTATGGGCTTTTGCTGATGGCATCAGTCAGTCTGACACCGGTTTGAGACACTTCTGAGATCATTTAGAAATTGACTAGTACATTGGACATGCTTCAAGTGTGTTTTGGATTCCCATAGATGGTATGGGACTGCAAAATCGCTGCAAGTGCAAAGAAAAAAAGTTGACAAAGGCCCTAAGGGTTCTCCTGCATACTCTGATCACACAAAAAAAATCCCTTAATTATAATGATCACAGACAATGAATGTGTGTGGGGGGAAGGGGGTTAAATAATACTACGACTGACCACCAATGAGGAAGGGGTTTACATATTACTGCCACTGGCCAACAATGCAAAGGTTAAATAATACTGCCAATAACCAGCACGAGTGCAAGGGGATGGTTAACAGCACTGCCAATAACCAGTGTTAACTTCAGTCCTGAAATTAGGGAATTAACTGTCTCATAGGCTGAGAGGACTCATTGAAAACAAGGCAAACCAAAAGGATTAATGATATGGGATGGCTCACACTCCAAATCCTCAGACTCAAAGGAATGGAACAGGGCATCTGCTTTGGCATTCTTGTAAGAGTATGTTTGACAATAGGTTAGAACAAAGTTGAATCTAGAGAAAAACATCCCATCTGACCTGAAGAGAATTAGTCTCTTTGACGATGCGGCAAATTTTTATGGTATCTATAGATTTTGACTCTGTGAATTGCACCCTGCAGGGGGTGGTGCCACTCTGGCGTTTTATAGCAAACAGATCACAATTTACAATTGAATAATTCTTCTCTTCTGGGGAGACGTTCTAGTGAAGAATCCACAGGGATACAGCTTCATCGGAGGCTGAATGTTGAGAAATTCTGCTGTCAACTGTAGAGCCATCCACTTCAAGAAAAACACAAAAGCTTATTTTAAGAGTTCCAAGAGAAGGCCAGTCTTTGCAATTCTCTCCTTTATGAATGATGGGTGTGATCGGGGCAACTAAGGTCTAAACAACTAACAATAGTAGTTTGCAAAGCCCTGGAAAAGTTGAGTGTCTTTCAAAAAGCTTGGCTGTAGGCTGTCTAAAAGAGTGCTCAGTTTCTTCATGGGCAGAAATTACATGGCCCACTAAGGTCAATTTTGGTTACTCAAAAAGACATTTTCCAGCTTAGTATATATACAGACTGTTTTCCCTAGTGTGTGTCGAATAGTCCTGAAATGTTTTCCTGGCCATATCCATGGCAGCGCTGACAAATGGGTTTAGATCCAATTACCCCTAGCTGACAGGAACCAAAAGGGTTAAACAAGGCCTAACCCTCTCTATAAAAGCCCCTCCTCCTGCTGACTTCCCCAGTCTTTTTGTTCCTGTCCCCCTAGGACAAGGATTTTCACAGGAGGTTATTGATATTCTTTTGAAATCCTAGAAGGTGTCCACTTCCTCTGTATGTTGTAGCATGTGGATGGTGTTTTCAGCGGGACTGATGAAAAATCGGAGTATTGTCCAGATAGAGAACCACTGAATGATCCAATAGATTGACGGAAATGTCATTAACAAGATTCTGGAAAACAACGGAAGCATTACACAGTCAGGACAGCATAACATCCTGTATTCATAGTGGTCATAATAGTTATAAAATGCTGTCTTCTACTCCTCCCCTTCTTTGATGCAGATCAAATTGTATGCCTCATGTAGATCCAACTTCATGAAAATGGCTGACCCCTGGAGGTGAACAACGAGCTCAGATGCAAGGAATATTGGTTTTTCACAGTTATTTAATACTCCGTAATTAATTCAGCAGTGGAGAAAGCCATCCTTTTGGTTACAACGTAGCCAGCTCCCATTGTCCTTTTGGTTACAACGTAGCCAGCTCCCATTGGTGACAAATACTTGCGATGAACCCTGATTCCAAACTTTCCCTAATGTATAGCTGGAGTCTCAGGTAAAGACAGGGGTTATACCCTGGCCTCACGGGGGAGAAATGCCAGGAAGCAGATCAATAGCACAGTCATTGGGTAAATGGGATGGAAGAATCTTGCCTTCCCTTTTACTTAACACATCAGCATAGTCTGAATAAGCCTGCGGGAGGCCAGGCAATGGAGTAGACTCAACTGTGCACAGATTCTGGCCAGGTAGAACTTTGGACATACAGTTCTGAAGAAAGGCAGTGCTCCATGCAAACAAATCCTCAGAGGGCCAGTGTATGTCAGGGGAATGGACATGTAGTCATAGCAACCCCAGTATTAAATTGACAGACTTAGGAATGACAAACGATAAGTGGTTCTTTATGCAGTATCCCGGGCCACATGCACACTGACAAACTGAATAGGTCCTGGAGTCAAAGAAAGCCTAAGTCCAGAAATGGCTATCGTTGCAACAAGTTTGCACTTCTGTGAAGAGAAAACAGAATGGCATAGGGATACTTCTAGCTGTCCTAGGAGGTATTTTAGGGGCCAGTTGTTAACGAAATATCCTTCTCCTTCACAATACATGCAAAGATTCAGGGTGCAGTGGACAGAGCATTCTTTCTGTTGCATTGGCTCTGAGTCTGCGCTAATGTTTGGTTTGACTAAAGAAGTTTGTGGATTCTTGAACTTGGGGACCAGATAAAGCTGTGATTGGTGAAACTTAACTGGCATTTCCCTTACATGAATATCCACTTTTATACTCAAGGGAATTAAATCATCCAAAAAGATGGGAAGGTCTCGACCAGCCAACTTGTCCTTTATGTGACCTAAAAGACTTTTAGAAAATGTAGCTTACTAGAGCATCATTGCACAAGGTGAGGCCAGCAGCCAGAATATGAAAATAAATTGCACACTGGTGGACAGAGAACCCTGCTGACAAGTCAGAGTTGCAGCAGAGGTTCCAGGAGCAAAGTATGTGAGATATTTTGCATACTCTTGCAGAACAGGATCCCTTTTTTGCATACAAAGGTGGAGGCCCAAGCCAGAGCCTCACCACTCATCAGACCAAAAAATGAAAATCACTTATGAAATGGCAGAAAATAAATTGTGAGAGAGTAAAACAAACTGCATCTGACAATGTTTCAATGAAAAGACCAGACTGCCCACAGAGGCTTGAAGCTGATCCATGGAACATTTTGTAACTTGAAACTGTTGAAGCATCTGGCCAAACCTGTCATCATGTTGCTGCGACTGGTCAGCAGGATCCATGTCATGATTATTCTGCCACAGATTCAGAAGGATGCACAGACAGGTAAACCAAAGGTCAGAAGGCAAGCAGCAGATAGGACAGATCCAAATACAAGTCGGTTAGGTAGAAAATCAGGTAGAAGAAATCAGACAGAGTTCAGATTCCAAATGCCAGTCACAAAGTATCCATAATCAGGGAATGAGCTTGAGGTGAATTACTGATTAAATAGCAGTTGTGAAGTACAAACCTACTTCCTGCAGTCTAGTGCATGCAGTGTGCAAAGTCTCCAGCAGATGACAGCAAAGTAGTACAAAAAAAAGCGAAAAGGTTGCACCGAGATAAAGTATCCACAAGATGGTGGAAAGTCAGGGTTTAGGTTCAGGTTGGGTCAGGACAACTGCTACATTGTCTTTCCATACGGCTGGGACATCATTGCTCATGCATTTCCCAGGGTCAATGCCATTGTAGTTCCAGGAAGGAGGTTGAGGGGGCACACTCAAATACATTTTCTGCCCATTGGAAAATGTAAGGAGGCTTCTTGTCCATCTACACACTTTCTTTTGCTACTCTGCCCTGGAGTGGTGAAGTGACACTGCATCTGCTGCCTGTAGTACCCTGTGTTAACCTGACCACCCCACTTCTGAGGTTTGAGGCCAGGTTCTATGATTACCCTTAGCAGATCCAGGAGAACTTGCTTTTTTTTTTGCATAGGCTATTCAACTTTTTGGTCAGTCCTGTGTCTGTTGCCAGCATGTCTGGCTCAGAGTTTAATGGGGGGTCATCTGCTCCTTTTTAGTGTGCATTTCTCTTCTAGATATTGCTTTTTGTGGAACTTGTACATTTTGGTCTGAGAGTTCTCTGTCTCTGTATTTGAACACTCTTTGCTCCTTTATGGTGTTTCTGCCCCCAGACTGCTCACAGTTAAGGTTTTCACCTGTTATGAACGGGTTATTGTCACACCTCACGCATTTCTCCCACACGTCTCCTAATTCCGAGAATAGGGGTGTAAAGTATACAGCCCTGAAGGCATACATGCTCACTACCTCCTAACATAGGAATGTAGGACCTGCAGAATCATAATGCTGGAGAGAGAAGCCATCATGACAGTGATATCCTGACCTGAGGATGCAGCCTAATCTCCCTGCCTAAAGGCAGAGGGGACCCGTCCCACGCTGAAAGGATGGTCCATTGCACACCTCTCATGTGAAATGAGCAAACAGCACTGCCTTGAAGGAGGATGCCATGAACCCGAGCACCCTTAT